GAATGAATGAATGAATGAATGAATGAAATGAAATGAAATGAATGAGTGAATGAATGCATGCATGCATGCATGCATGCATGCATGGATGGATGGAAAGAAGGAAGGAAGGAAGGAAGGAAGGAAGGAAGGAAGGAAGGAAGGTAGGAAGGAATACATGCATGCATGCATGCATGCATGCATGCATGCATGAATGCATGAATGAATAGCGGGTTTTTCACCCAGCCCTAGTTGGATGATCATTCCAGTGTTGGCTTGCCACCTGGCCCTAGTTGTATGTTCGTTTCAGTGTTGCTTTGCCATCTAAGCCTGTTTGCATGATCCTTTGATTGCTGGTTTGCAACCTATGATCATTCCAGATACTCCATGTACCCTATTTTCTTTGTTCTCGGTCCTTTGAGGGGGGACACTGCAGCCGAGGTTCTACATATCTTTTACCTATTTTGCGGTACTGCGCCCCGGCTTTTCGTTGGAGCGGCATTTTTTCTCGTTGCGGGGCGGGTTCTTGTTATCGCGAATTTGTTTGGTATGTGAAAAGTAGGGACCCGTTGGAGGTGGTTTTGGAGTCAAATGACCATGCCGACCAACAGGACACATACTCATTTCATGAATCCCTACGTTCAATTCTTAAATTGTTCCCTTTTGGGGTTCCCTTTTGGGGATAGGTTTGAAGGATCATCACGCCCAATATTCGGAGACATACTGTAGAGAGAATGCATGTCCAGTTCCCTATACCCAGAGCTACTGCGGATGGACGAGATCCATTTCGCACCACTTTGAAACCACGGTTGAAACCATAGTTTGTTGGCATCTACAGGGGCATCTATAGTTTGTTGGTATACTTTTCCAACTTTGTTTGAGGAGGTGGACATTACAGGGGAATCGAATAATTTCAGGGATTCTGAACGTGGTGTTTGAAATGGCTGTGGTTGTCAAAGCCAATGGGATCCCATTTTGGGTTTTTTGGTGCACCACCCATTTTAGAACCTATTCTAGTGGGGATTGAATCGGATGTTCACGGGGGGTACGATTTGGATTTTGACGCATGGCCAAATGGATTTCGCATGGTGGAAGGTCCTTCCCCGAGCTCCCTCTTTGCAATTTCATGGATCGATCGATTGCCGGGGCATTTTCAGGTCATGTGACCAACAGTTCACTTCCTGATTCCTGGACCTTTGTCACTGTTTGGGTCTGGAATGTCTGGACCATGTTAGTGGTGAACAACAAGTTTCGGTACATATTTTGGAAAGAAGGCTTGGACCAATTCGCTGAAGGGCATCACCTGCGTGACACATGATCAACCATGATGGCAAGCAGTCCAGGAAGCTCCGAGATGTGCACCGAAACATCAGCCGCCGGAGTGTGGAACAAATGGGGACCTCCATAGGTAGGACTGATTTGAAACACCGGCTCTATGATCCTAGGCTCCCAGTATGCAGAAAAAGTTGGTACCCTTATTCCAACCTCTCTACTGGACCTATCATCCCCACCGAGCTAGTTTTCGCCGATCCTCCCGCCTTTTAGGAGCTGATCGTTGCGGCTTCGCCGCGATCGTCCGTGCGCCTTTTTTCAGTGGGATCCCAGCTTGAGTTGGGTGTGGGTCAATCATTGGTACCCAAAACTGGCTTGCCCCGCTAAATGGACACCATGACTAGCACCTGCGGTTCATATCCTGGTAGTTTAATGTTGACCCATACCCAATTGAAGCCAACAAGTCTTTAGGGTTTGACAGCCAAGGAACGTGGTAACGGCTGTGTTTTGCCAATCAGCGAGACTCGGCTGAATGATGAGAAGTTTCTGGTACATGTTTTTAGTCTGTTTCGCCGGGGCTGATCCGTGGAGCTGTTTTGCTCGGCATACTGCCCAGGCCTTTTCGGGTCATTTGCTGGCTGCGTTTCCACGGCTCCTGTGGTCTCTTGTATTGGCTTTTCGGGAAAGACAGAAAGGCTTGAACCTTGACCCAAGCTGGAGCTGTTTGGGCATAGGGTTGAATGCGCGCTGTATCGACCATGAACGAAGTCACCACTTTACCTGTTCTGCGGGAAAGCGTCCGGTGACCGCCATGATGCAGCTGTGCTGCAGCTTTCAGGTGATCTCATGCGTGGCTTGTCTTGGATCCTGGATTCAGCCAAGCCGGGGTGTTGACAGGCTGGTTCAGGTTCAAAGACAAAGATGGAATGAGATAGAGAGAGATAGACAGAAAAAAGAGAGACCCAGAGAGAGAGAGAGGCAAAAAAAACAAAGGCATACATATATATATATATATTAGAGAGAGAGATGGAGAGAGAGGGAGAGGGAGAAAGGGAGAGAGACAGAGAGAGAGAAAAACAACAAAAACAGAACACGCAACAAAGGCTCACGCGTGCATTGCACGTTTTGCTGACTTTGCGCTTCGCAAAATGTCAGCCTTGAATAGGCACGTCAAAAGAGCTGGATCAATCAAGCATTTCCGGGTGTCCCTTTCGCTTTTTCGGGCGGGGGGGGGGGGGTCCGGAATGAGCTTAAATTGGCTGGCAGAGGCGCTGGTCAAGCATTTGCAGGCCCGAAAACATGGAACTTGTTTGTCTAGTGGTTGGCTTGGCTCTAGAATGGACCTGAACAAACACAGCTTTTGTGTTCAACCAGCGAAGAAAGAGGTGAATGGGCTAAAGCGTTAACCGTAGGTGGTCGCTTGTCTTGACTCTTAATAAGTATCCACTTGGGCCACCATTTTGGCTCAAGTGGACCTTTTGATCTTTTGTCTTGTGATTTGAAATCTTTCTTTCCCCTACTCTCAAAGCCATGTACGCCCCCGCCTACGCTGGTGCCGCGGTAGCAGAGGCCAAGGCTAAGGCAAAGGCCTCCATGGCAAAGTACCTGGCGAGCCTCGTGAAGAGGGAGGAAGAAGGATGGACCGTTTTGGCTGCTGAGGTCCCTCAGGCACCTGACGAGCGTTTCTTCTCCAGCGCAGATGAGCTGGAGCAGGCCCCCCTTATCCCGGCCAAGCGCAAGGCAGAGGATGAGCCGATGGAAGATGCAGCCCCTGGGGTGGCGCAGGTGCCGAAGGCCCTGACACGCCCCCCAGGGGCGTTCCTGGAGCTCCTGAACCCGCCGGAGGAGGACGTGCCCATGGAGGAGCTCCTGGCGAAGGACGAGAAGGAGCTGCCGATGCCCAGGTCCCCCTCGGCTGCAGCCCGCTTGGAGGAGGCCCGCCTGGATGCCCGGGCAGACGCCAAGTGGCAGAGGCGCCGGGAGCTGATGGCGAAGGTCAAGGAGCAGGCGTCCTCGGAGGAGGATGAGAACCCCGCAGCCCCCCCGCCGGGGGGGAGCGTGTTCACCAAGGCCCTCAAGGTCTCGGAGGGCCTCTACCAGTTCAGCGACGACCAGATGGCGGGCGACTTCCCTTGCTTCGATGCGACCACGGCCACTAGGCTCCGCCGACTGCAGGCCAAGGACGTCCAGCGGCTCCTGCGAGGCTTTGAGGGCCCCCAACTCAAGCAGGGGGGCCTGGAGCGCGTTGTGGAGGCCTTCTACATCGCCAAGATGAAGTACGAGCATGAGGCCCGGCTCAGCACCCCGGGACAGCAGGTTGGCAAGCGCGCTGGCTTGGGGTACGGGGGCCTGGAGAACCGCCCCCTGGGCAAGGTGCCCACATCCTGGATCTGCCCCTGCTGCACCATGCCCTGGGTGAAGAAGGGCGCCACGAAGTGCATGGGGTGCGGCAAGAAGACGGAGCCCATTGACACGGCGACCAACTCGGCCACCCTGGAGATGGCGGGCACGCATTGGCAGTTGACGGTGGATGACCAGGGCAATGCGGTCTGGACGGCGGCCCGGTCCGCGGGTGCCGAAGGCCCTGACACGGACCGGGCCCGCGACCTCAAGCTCAGTGCCTCGGTGGACGTCAGCGAGCTGGCCACCGACCCGATGGCCTGCGAGAACCCGGACCAGGCCAGCTTCTCGGACTTCGTCCCCTCCTCGGTCCGGGCGGTGATCAGGAACTGCCCCATGGAGCTGGACGAGGAGTTTCTGACGGCCCCACCGGGGGAGAGGCCCCCATTGCCAGGCGACAAGGAAGAGGGCCAGGAATGCAGAGCCTTCCACCCGTCTGCGGTGAAGGCCTTCAAGATTCAGACCCGGCTCAACGCCACCACCATCGCCCAGGAGGAGGCCAAGAAGGCGGACCAGGTGGAAGCGGTGGAGCGCTCCGCGGCGGTCCTCCACGAACTTCAAGGGGGGGCCATTGACGGAGGAGGTGATGGAGGCCTGCTCCTGAAGAACCTGGACTTGGACCTCTTCCGTGAGAAGCTGCTGGACAAGCTGGGTGCGGACTGGGGGAGACCCACACCGGAGCTCCTCCAGGCCCAGACCACTGCGGAGGAGGCGAAAGCGAAACACCAAGCCAGACAGGCGAAGGGCTCCCTCGAAACCAGAATGCTCGAGCCCATCGCGCCTCCCTTCAGTGCGTGGCCTAGTGAGGTCCGGGTCGCCATTGAGACTGGGGTCTTCGAGCCGACAACGGCATGGAGGGACTTCAGTATGGACGACCTCACATCCCTCACGGACTCCTACCTTGAGGCCAAGGCGGTCATCTCGCTGGGTAGGAATCCCTTCCCGGCGGCCCTCCTGTCAGATCTGCCGGACCTGACAGGGATCCCCATGCCAAAGGCGGGGGGCTCTGGTGCGGCGCGCCCAGGTGCCGAGGGCCCTGACAGGCCGCCCACCATCCCCCCAGCCTCGGGCTCTGGCGTGACGAGCTCAGGTGCCGAGGGCCCTGACAAGCCGTCCGCCACCCCGGTGGGCCTGGACACCAAGGACCCGGAGGTGCAGCTCTCGGTCCTGCGCTGGATGATGAGCAAACGGGTCGGAGAGGTCCGTATCTTTGCGGGCCGCTGGGTCCGACGACCGGGCCCGGTACACGTCCCGGATTGGGCGAAAAACCTCACCAAGGTGAATCCGGAGGCGTTGGAGAAGGGTACGCATCCCAGGAACCACCAGGTGGGTGGACTCCCCTGGGCCAGGTACTCCGTTGATGAGTTGCACCAGCAGGCGAAGGCGGGGGACCGACCCTACCCTGGGGACCTGCGATCCATCTTTTGGGCTGCCCCCCACGATCCGGATGAGGACTTCCACTGGACGCGCCAGATCTCGTCCTGGACACTCCCAGGCCTACTGGGGATGTTCGGGCACAGCTACACCCTGCGCCAGCTCTGGGGAGTCTGGGAGTCTCTGCCACTGCTGCAGGGCCCTAGGCAGCGGGGCCCGAAAAACAAGGCCCAGAATCAGACCCGCCTGGAGGGCTGGGAGACCCTGAAGGAGGACGCGCGGTGCTTCCTGAAGGAGGAGGGCCTTCCGTTTCCGCAGACAGGACCGGAGTGGCGATTGGTCTACCGGGCCATGGGCAAGGTCCTCGCGGCCCGGGCCTTCCTCACGGACACCCCGGCGGAGGTGATGCAGCTCCCGGTCCAGGACGTGGCGGACTCCAAGGAGCAGATGATCCTGCGGGCGGTATGCGACGAGCGCATCTCGGTCCCGGTGGAGAGCCTCCAGCAGTTCCCAGAGGTGTACAAGGCCCTCATGGACCGCATTGGAGGCCCGGGGGCCCTGGCGGAGGTGAAGGTCAACTGGCGCTGCAACACGAAGCAGTGGTGGGTCGGCGCAGTCCCCGACTCAGTGGCCCCCTCCATCTACCGCAAGCTCGGCTACACCAACGACATGATCAAGCTGATGGGCCTGGACCCCTCCGCCCCTGGGTGCCGGACAGGTGCCGATGGCCCTGACATCCGCCCCAGGGGAGGCGAGGGCGATGAGGGGATCGTTTACCCCCCCATCACGGCGGACAACGTCCACGGCGTGGTGGGTAAGGACTACCGGAAGAAGAACTATCCGGTGGAGATGAAGCATGTCTTCTGGGCGCACATGGAGTGTGGCCTGGTCCTGAGCTCCGTCACCCCGTGGGAACTCATCCCGAAGACAAAAGGGGAGACCCGGGGGGGCTACATGTGCAAGTATTGTAAGGGGTACTGGCGTGCCGGGGGAGGGGGCACCCGCCTCCTCCAGATCCGGGCCGGCAAGGCCATCTTGCAGCTGGTGTTGGACGAGCCGCCGGAGGGCCTCTACAACCGCTGGGTGAAGGAGCGGCTGGAGTACTACCGCCGGGTGGAGCCCTCGGCCCCGTTGCGGGACGTCTCCATCGTGGACCAGAAGGTGCCCAGGTTCAGATTCAGCCAGACCACCCAGACAGGCCACGTCTCCAATGCCATCTGGGAGCTGATTCTGCGGAATCCGGAGGCTGCTGCGCTCAAGCGCATCGATGACATCGCGAAGGGGGCCGCGTGATGATGCGGGACAACGCCATCTTCCGGCACACCATCCAGGACCGCGGCCATCCGGAACGGATGCGCAGCGCACCCCGGGGGGGGGACAGCTGCCGAAGGCGCTGATATCCCCCCCCAGGGAACAGCGCAGGCCCAGACTTGCACCAGGCGAGGAAAATTGGCGCGGCTTGGGCTGATCCGGGGTGCGCCTTGGTTCCCCTCTCTTGTTTGGTTTTCCCTTTTCGGGGCGGCTCCCTGGGTCCCCCTTTTTCCCCCGTTTCCTCCGTTTCGGGGTTGACTTTCCGGGGTTTTGGGGGGCCCCCTGTTGTTTGGTTGGGGTTTGCACCTAGGGACTAGGCCCCCGGCTCGAGTGGATCATGATGATGTGGAGGCCCCGCCTCCCTTCCCCGTTTGGGACGACCTTCCTAGGGGCGCCAACCGCGCTCCAGTTGATTTTGCATGACCTTGGATTTG